TCAAAGACGTTTCTACTTCCTTAAGTTTTGTCCATGAGGATACTTCAAAAGGATCATTTTATGATAGTTCTTATTGTATTCAATAATAGTAAATATTTCACTTATATTATCAATGTTTATAATGTAAGAGAGCGGGTTGTTAGATGAGTGGTCTAAACTGTTGGTCTTCGACCGCTTCAACCACGGATCGAATCCCGCATTGGGCTCTTTTTTTCTAAATAAAAAAAAATCCAATGGCTCCCGATTTTTTCAAAGTTTCTACCCCACCAACGAATGTAAGTAACCAAACGGGGTTCTGGAACATTTGTAAGTGCAAAATTCGAATTGTTTTTCATATGTGTAGACATGTGGTGCACTTATAGTAAAAGCAGTCGCGAATTTCTACCCACCAGATTATCATGAACTGTACCATGTGTACTAGGAATAAAAAAAGTGCAAGAGAATTACTAAATAAAGTCTATATTGTGAAAAAAATAGTACAAATGTGATATTGTACTGGGATAAGGTGCATAATTATGAAAAAAGGCATCTCCTTATCCCAGTACAATATCACATTTGTACTATTTTTTCACATTGTTTCGCGTTCTCACGCAATTCTGTCCTTAACTACCCGTTTCATGATTTTTCAGGATGCCTTGAATGACCAGATTTTGGTCGTTGAGGTACAGCTTGCACCACGCTGATGAGGGCCAACAGCCCGAAACGCGTCCGTGGTTAGCTTTTCTTGATTAATCAAGAATGGGTATTTGGCCAATTCTGGAATAATTAAAAATCAACGAGAGTAGTTGATATTTCTAATGTACAGAGAAATGTGTCAATACCTTATTACAAGTTTCTATCTCATAAGAAAGGAAAAACCAATCCTTACCTGACGCCTCTAAGTAGCAGTAGATGTACAACACCCTAGAACAGCTAAGCCAGGAAAGGGCAAAGTAGAAATGAGGAAGAGCTTCAATTTCTTCCTACTCTGGAGGTGGACCCTCAATTTGGAATTGGAAATACATTCTAAAGAAAGACGAACCTGAATACAATAAGATGAATAGCTGGATATCCTTGCTAAGAAGATATAAAATCTAACGGCGCGACGAAATTCTTTATTGGAAATATATAAGTCTGGCGAGAATTTGGACAAAAACATCCTTTAACAGGCTGTAAAACGAATACAAGCTTGTTGTTGTTGTCGTGTCCAAAGAAGAGCTTCAGATGTCTCCATACATCTCTATCACAGCAGCAGCAATATCCACTATCTTTGGTATGTAAAGCTGCTGTTCTGAGTCTTGTCAATTTTCTGCAAGGCTGTGGCCATTTCTGGACATAAGAATATGTGAGTAGGTGTTAATTCCACACCAGGACAGTTGTTACATGTCCTATAGGTTCTTGTGCCATCTGGATGTATTTTTATTCCTTTATAGTGTTTGTTCTAAGTCTTGTTTTACAAGTACTTGTAATTTTTGTCAGTTTTCTCTCTGAGTTTATAGTACAAATGTGATATATTGTACTGGGATAAGGTGCATAATTATGAAAAAAGGCATCTCCTTATCCCAGTACAATATCACATTTGTACTATTTTTTCACATTGTTTCGCGGTCTCACGCAATTCTGTCCTTAACTACCCGTTTCATGATTTTTCAGGATGCCTTGAGTGACCAGTTTTTGGTCGTTGAGGTACAGCTTGCACCACGCTGATGAGGGCCAACAGCCAATGATCTTTTCTTATTTTTTGTTTGATTATCTTGTATTTAATACAAGCTTGTTGAAGGACGTTATTGTACAAAGGTTCGACAAGCTTACATCTCTTTAACAAAGAAATTCGTTGCTCCGTTAACTTTTATTTCTTCTTAGCATATTATTAACTTTATATTATTAGGTCATTGACATATGGATAAGAAAGACAAATGGAAACTATAACATCTGTTTAACCATGAAAATCTTTAATGAAAGAATCAACTGTAACAAGTAGTCTTACCACCAGACGTTGGCTATTGCTTGATTGACTTGGAAAAATTGATTGGTGAGGCTCATCAATCTAATCACTGATTAAACTGAAATTAAAATATACAGTGTAATAAAAAGACTGATTTTTCAAATAGGAAAGTAATATATTAGCGCCCATGAAATTATATCTGATTCTATATTCTATATTAATCCTTTTCTCAATCAAATTATATTCTTTGACGTACATGTACCCCATAAGTAGGTTCATCAACCTAATTACTTAATAAACTCAAATTAAATATACATTGTAATAAAACGACCGAATTTTCAAAATAGGAAAGTAATATATTTACAACCATGAATTTATTTCTGATTCCATATTCTATATCAATCCCTCTCTTTTAAAATTATATTCTTTGACGTACATGTACCCCATTAGTAGGTTCATCAACCTAATCACTTAATAAATTCAAATTAAATATACAGTATAAAAAGACTGATTTTTAAAATAGGAAAGTAATATATTTGCAACCATGAATTTATTTCTAATTACATATTCTATATTAATCCCTCTCTCTTTAATATTATATTCTTTGATGTACATGTATACCCCATAATGAAAAAATAATCGAGAAATTAAATTAAAATATTGTGATAAATTGAATTAAGTTCATTTCTTTTGATCTTAACTAATTCGGGAATATGTAATTAAGAGTGTATTGGTTTCTTAGCAACCTTTTAATATATCTTTATATTTTATCATCAGACTCTCAAGCAATGGATCAACATCTTATAGAAGCCTGATTGAACAGATACACCAGGTTTTGTAATGCTTCATTTGAAAGAAATCAATATAGAAAGATACCTATATTGTGGGTTGATTTAATGTTTTATTATACCATGCCATTTTTTTATTACAGTAATCCCTCTCTATAACGAATTCCTAATTGGAGTGGCAGAGTGTCCTTTAGGTAGAGGTGTCTTCTTTTTGGAAAGCTACTAAATGGCAAAAATGGTAATTTTGGTGATTAAAACTGTAGTCAGAGTTGTCCTCTCATGGAGATTCTACTGTATATGATAAAGATAACTTATTAGACTTTTTTTAATTCATAATTTGTATGTTCAGAAAAGTAAAATCTTCTGTAATAAATATAAATTATAGGGAAAAAACTCTCTCGAAAGTCGTTTTACTTATTATTTATAATTTGTCTATAAGAAATCGTTTTAAAATATATATAAGAGCTATTTTTAACACAATTTATTCTAAATGTTTATAAACTTTTTAAATGAAAAAGAGGGAATATAATATTTGCCTATCTTGTGTTGAAATTTTCATAAATTATATATTTTCAAAATATATATATTTTTTGCGTTTGAGAAGTTATAATAAAGCCTTATTTAAAATTATAAGTAAAAACTTTCTTAATTAATGATAAATGGCATCTATTACACATACATAAAGATCTTGAAGCCACGATGCCCTTCTTCAAATCCATCAGCCATCGTAATGAGATATATATAAAAATGTATAAAACAAATTTATTAAAATTTATTAAATTATGCCTGTGGTAGCTTTTATTTTATATTCAATCATAAAATAAGTGAATTATATTCACCAAAAAGATTATGAAAATGATCTTTTGACATAAGACTCAATATATTAATTAATTTGATTGTTATATTTGATATTTTCCTCTATAAATGTGAAGCTATATTTGATTTTTAAAATACAATAAAATATATTTTATATAGCGTATCTATTTAAGAAATAATTTTTAAATTGAAAATATATTTTATTTATTTTTAAATTAGTATATTATATCAAATATATTATTATAATTTATTAGAAAATAAAAATACGTTTTACTTCATATAGGTCTAAATATCACGAATTTTACAGAAATAAATTTTTATGAAAACGATTTATGCACTTTTCTTATTTCTATTTTATTTTATTTAACGATGTCTTCATCTGAGTGAATTTTTATCATTTTAATATATTGATTCTCTCAAAAGGTTATTTAAAAAACTATTAACTCATATACAAAAATATATTTTAATATAAAAATATTACAATATAGATTTTTATTTATATATATATTTATATAATTACTAAATAATTCTAACTAAATTTAAAATTTTCAAAATGAAATAAAGAAATACATATTATCCTAATATCTTTATTAATTATTGCCTATATATAAATTCTTTAAGATTATTTTACCAATAAGTATTTAAAAAAGATAAACTAATTTATTAGAATAAATTCAAAATTTAATTTAATATGAAAATATAAGGAACCTATTATATATTCATACAATAATAATATTAAAAACTATAAAATAAAATAATAATTAATATGCTTATATAGTAAATTAATTATAAAATATATAAATAATATTGTAATATAGTTATAATAATATAATTTATAATAAAATATTTAGTAACATTACAATTAAGAACTTTACGTTTAAAATATAACCATATTTATTTTTATTTTAAAATTAACTATTTTATATATTTATATTTATTAATATATTAGGGAAAAATAATGTCAAATATATTTAATATCATTCAATTATTTTATGGACTCACGAATAAAAAATGTAGTGCAGACAAAAATCATATGAATAAAATAAAAATATGAAAACGGTAACATGCTACTTAAATATATGAATTGAATATTGGTTATTACTTTAGAAAGATTCCATCAAGAAATAATACCTTTATAATATTGAGATAAAATTAATGTGCAAAAATTAAGCTGATAAATTATTATTATTAATACCAAGTGCATATGCTAAACAAACATTCGATATTTCATGCTAAAGTAAACGCGCGCGCAAGCAAGCATTGGTTTTTAAGTTTGATATAAAAACATTCAAAAACTAGGCTTTTTAACATTGAAAACGAACTATGCATGCAACCACGAATACATTAAAATGCATATATATACCCAAATTTGTTCCGAAAATATCTTCCTGAGGCAAAATGTCTTCAATTTTCGGATCTTTTCTTCTGCCAGGATTTTCTTCCTTCTTGAAACGGTGAAATTGGGGTAGAAGTGATTCGTACCGACTCAAAGTAGATTTAAATATATCTATCTATGAGCTGGTACAAATAACCTCCACTCCAAAATACTTGTTTTTCTGATCATCTTTATCTGTAGCAGTACACAAAACAAGGATGCAATAGTGCAAAAATATCAGCTATACAGGCATTAAAATGGTGAGTGAAAATAATATTTAGAATAAATATATGTGTATCAACAATGTGCTCAACTAACAGGCAAATTTATTAAATTTTAGGAAATTTGCATTCATTGATTTTATAAAAATCGTCTGCAATGAAAATTTGCTAGGTCATGTAATTTAAAATTGAAATAACGTTGATTTAATCAATGGATTGATAATATTAAATTTGCAATAGAAGCAAATTCAAGTCGATTTTTAAAAAAATAAATTTTAAAAACAAAATCTCTGAAATAAAATATTTTAGGTATGAAATATTCAATTCTTCTTTTTTTTTTCCTTCAAGTCAAATGTAAAAAAATGGAAATGACGATTACATATGGTGTGCCATTTTTTATTTATAAAAAAAACTTTTTCCATTAATATTAATAATTAAGACTATCATTAATTTATTTTATTTTTAAAATTTTAATATTTAAAATTTTGAAATAATAGATGTATATTTATTTTTCTTTGTTTGTTCTATTATTTTGTTTAACTTAACTATATATAGTAAAATATATATAATGAAAAATTAGAGAAATAAATACCATATTTTTATTTAGAAATATATGCTCTTCAAAGTTTTATATATTTTTATAATTTATTTTTTAAATAATAGTATAAATAATATATTAATATATAATATAAACATACTTATAAAGGGCGATATTTATATACATGTAATATATTTAAATATACTTACCACAACATAAATATATCTATTGTAGCAATTAAAAATAAACTAATTTAATTTTTTAGGAACATATTCTTTTAATGAAATAAATTTTTATTTGATCATTTTTTTTAAATTTTCCAGTATTGCTCATAATGATTATATTAAATTATGCCGCAAAATATAAAAACCTTCAAATTATTCTCTCAAAATAAAAATTATTCTAATGAGATAAAATATCTTCTTATATATTTATTTTGAAATAAAAAATGAAATATTTTGTTGAAATTTAGGTTATACGAAAAATTTCGGTTATACTAAGAATTTTACTTTAATATTAAAAAATCAAATGAATAATATGGAGACTAGATTAAATATCATTCTTTAGAAAAAAAAAACTTTTTATTTGATGGATAAAAAAAAACCTTCTGGAAAATCTTGTAATATATAAAAATTGTATTATATTCCCTCTTTCTTCGTATGAAAGAAATAAAACCCATCTTAGAATGATTGAAAGCATGATTGAAAGCAATGATTGAAAATGGTCAATATCTTTGTTATCAGCTTTTAGAAGATCAACTATCGCTTGAAAGATTATATTTTAAATTCTCTTTTTCTTCACCTGTTACTTGTTCCTAGTCACTTCCTTTCCCTTGTACCTAGTTATTTCCTCATCCATTCCCTAGTTCCTATTCATTTTTTTTCTCACAAAATTATTTAAATTATTCGAACATGAGTTTATCTTATAAAAAACTCCTTGTTTGACAAAATATCTTTTCTTATTTGAAATGCAAGCTTTAGAAGATCAACACTTCTAAAGATTACATTTCAAATCTGGATATTAATCAAACAATGCCAAAGGTTTCTGGATATGAGTTGCTTTTATAAGAAACTATCCGAATGACCCGAGCAACGCCCGGGTTTTACCCGATTAAATGTTTTTATTCAAATACTATTCGTTACAATTATAAATTGGCGCCCTGGATGTCACTCTTGTGAAACATCCTGCTCCAAACTTTACATGTACATTAGGTCAGCTGATATTACCTCCCATCTTCACCACTAGATGCGCTACTCGCAAGCGAAAGGGCAAATTTGCAACGCAACTTTGCAAATAACTCGACGAATATTTGAAATAGAGACCTGAAATTTTCATTATAAGTTTTTCCAGATTCTACTCTATATACTGTTAAAATTTTAGTATGATTAGTTATGTATTGTGGACGTGTATAGAGGACAAGCATACACACATACATACATACACTGACTTTTATAAATATTTAGGGATTCTTTTAAAATGACATTTGAAATACTATCCCGCATGTGTTTCTTTTCAAAGAAAAATCAAAATTTATTTCAAGGAGAAACAACGATTATTTCCAACCTTTTGAATGAGGTATGAAAGGGTGAATTGTGAAGAGTAATGATAAACGGAAAAATAAAAGTTCCAGGGATGGGAATTATCATTACTCTTCACAATTCACCCTTTCATACCTCATCCAAAAGGTTAGAAATAATCGTTGTTTCTCCTTGAAATAAATTTTAATTTTTCGTTGAAAAGAAACACATGCGGGATAGTATTTCAAATGTCGTTTTAAAATCACAAGCCGCATTGTATATTGTATAAGGATTATTGTTTGGAAAAATAAGTATCATTTTAAATAAAGAATAAATACTCACTGTGATATTGGAAATATATTTTATAATTTTGTCTATTTCTAAGAACAATGGTTAGATAACAACTCTATCTTAATAAAGATAGAACCATTACTATAAATGACAATAGATAATAAGTTGCAAAACTGTCATCAAAACAGACGAAAATCTTCTAATGTTGTTTACGTCCAGATGAGTCTTGTCATAAGAGGAGCTAAAGAGGTAATATAAGTAAATTACAAGTAATTCCCAGTGAAGCTTCTTGGTGATTAGAGTAATTATCTTGATTGGATTTGTTGTCCTAATGCAATTCTAACCTCTTTCATCTTCAGATATCTCCTTAACTCAGCAATTAGATGCTGAAATTCTTGAATTCTTGTTTTATTGTGTACAATTTATGTGACATTACAATTCCACATTGATGTTTCTTATTTACATATTTTCTATAGATTTGGTTCAATTTGAGTTATGAATAATAAAATAAATATTCTTTCATATTCAAAATTTTTCAAGAATTCCTAACTATGCTCAACCCAACTTATATAACGTTCAATTTTTTACTGGACATGGTGACTTCAACACATATTTGTTTAGAATTGGTAAAATTGGTTCACCTGCGTGCACTTGTGGAAACGAAAAACAAAACCCTGAACACCTTCTGATAAACTGTCCATCAACTTCTGATCTAAGGGAAGAAAACCAACTTTACCTGACAAATACAAAACAAGTTGTTTACAATAAAGACCAATACATCAAGTTTAATAGATTCTGCAGGCTGTATATTTTAACGCGAAAGTATTGACTGTACATATTTCAAGCTACTATTTATAATTACTATATGCAAAATTTGACATCGAATGTGTAATTTGCGTGCTTCCCAGTGATAATATCACGATGATTTGATTTGTTTGTATATAATTTCAGATTTACACGCAATTATCTTAATTGTGGATATGGTGTGTCTTTGCAACTGTTAAATAAGAAAAATAATTATTCAAAAATTTGAATTTGGTTTGTATAGTAACATTTTATAAATTGTCATTTTTTATTATTGAATTATTTATCTTGTTTTGTCTTAGTTTTTGATGGGTTTGACTTGTTTTGCTCTTAAAGAAATTCCTATAATAAATATTGAAGACAAACGAGATAACCAAGTGTAAACAAATTTGCAATTATTTCCTTCAAAAAAAAAAAAAGAAAAAAAAAACAGACAGCGAAATAAAAAATAACTTCCAATTTCATAAGTTTGGTCCATGAGTATATTTTTGTTTGTTAGATATTTGTTAAAATGAAAGAATTGATTCCTAAACAATAAATATTTATATACTTTTAACACTAAATATGTCATATATTTGTTATATAATTGCATATATGCATATAAAATATTCTGATTTTTAACACACAGAAAATACTAGGTTTTTAATTAAAATAATAAAAAGCTTAAAATTTAAAGTTCCAAAGTTTTTATCTTGAAAAACAAATATATTTACACACAAATAAGAAAACAAATTTATCTCAAAATTATAGACTTCATATAAAAATAATCATAAATAAACATAAAAATTGAATATTATATATAATTTATTAGAGAATATACTTATAATAATACAAATTAGAATGAAGAACACAATATATATATTTTTTGATTATATTTTGATCCAATATATGCCTTTTTATATAAAGATTTATTAATGGATTGCTCTATTTTCAAAATATGTATATATTTATATATAACACAGCAAAAACACAAATAAAAAGTTTCTTTAATTTACAGATTAATTTTATATAATCACACACATATATATATATAGGTTTTTAACTTTTGATTAGACAATTTTAATTTATATTTAGACATTTTTCATTTTAATATAGACACTTTTATTTTTATTTTAGACATTTTCAATTTTTATTTTAATTTAGACACATGGACTTTTCTATAAAAAGTCTATGTATCTAAATTAAAATTAAAAATGTCTAAATTGAAATAAAAAAAGGTCTAAATTAAAATTAAAAATGTCTAAATAAAAATAAGAGCGTCTAAATTAAAATGAAAATGTCAAAATTAAAATTGAAAATGTCTAAATTGAAATTAAAAAATGTCTTAATTTATTTTGAAAATCTCTAAATATAAATTTTAAATGTCTAATAAAAAGTTAAAAACCTATAGATAACATATAGATGCACATATATTTAGAGATCAATAAATATAGGCACATTTTAAAATCTAAGATTTTCCAAAATAAGAATTTAGTATTTTAAGAGCTTAGGTGAAACTTCTTCAAAATTTAATTTAGCGCTTGAAATTCCAAATTGATATCTTTGGAGGTCAATCTAGGAATAAACTATCAGCCGACTGTTTTCTTCCTTTTCTCTAACGACGCCATATTGGATTTAGGATGACAGCTTAAAGTAAATATTTCTCCGAATATTTTGACATTTGAAAATTTTATCATCATGATTAATTTCAACCATATATTTATTTTATCAATGAATTATACAGATGTCAGACGCCGTTTCTATTAATAACGTATTTATTTACGCCAAAATATATTATAATAGTTGGAAGAATAAAATTTTAAAAAAATGTTTCAAAATATATTTTTCTGTTTGAATACAAATTTATTAATTTTTCAATGAGAGGCTTTCAATAAATAACAGCCAAAAATTAATATAATATCTAAAATATTATTTATAATAAGTAAAAAATTAATATATTTGAATAAAACAAAATATAAAACATAAATAAAACACTATATTTATATATGCAAAAATATAAATATATATTCTTTATTAAATTAATTGAAGCTTAACTAAGAAAGCAAAATTCATTTGCCAAAGTGGAAGAGAATTCGTCTTTTATTCCAAAAGAAAATGGCGGATCACAAAATCCGTCTTTTGTTAAAGGAGATTGAAGAAGGAACAATATTAAATCTAGCAGACGAACCAACGCTGGTGTCGTTTGATGAAAACATTCAATAAGACGACTTAATTAGCACTTAATTTAAATTTCTTCCAGGTAGTATGCAAAGTGTGTAAATTGGTCCAATTGGATTGTAGGGAAGTGGGGCCAAATTGGATTTTAAATAAGCCTGTTAGAAAAAGTGGCGGGCTTTTTATCCACCAATGAGAAGCAAGGCAGAAGATTAAAATAGATTTAGGCTTAACCTCTTTTATATATGGAGTTTATATAGAAAATTAATATATTCACAAATGCAGAATAATAATAATTTTTATAAATAGAATATTAATTTATTTATATTTAAAATACATTTATTTCAATAAATATTTAATAGAATGATAAAGAAAGGCTGAGTACATTTAAGGAATTTAGATTACATTATTGTTAATAATTTTCCAAAATTTCAAATAATTCAAATTTTCTGGGTAATTTTAAAATATTAAAACATCTGGTCACACTGAAAAAAATTCTATGAGTATAAAAATATTCAATAACCTGACGAGATATAAATTTAATTTTAAAACGAAATGAGATTTAAGAAAAAGAATAACTATATAATTATTAGAGAGAAAATGGTAATTACAAATTAATTATTACTATAATTAATTTCTTTGCAAATCAGATAATTTTCTGAATATTTGTCAATGAGTATTGTTGATTTAGAAATGTATATTAATACAGTAGAAATTTCAATCAGTAAATATTTTCCTTTAAACAGAGATTTGTTATTAAAATCAATTTAATATCTTTGAAATGAATTCCTTCAAATCAATATTTTTCT